AAGTCCAAGGCAGGAGGCCAGCAATGTTTCTATGGAGGGAACACATTCGGTGTTGAGGTCGGTGGACCCTATTCGGGCGCCTAGGGCGTGACATAACTCGTCCGCAGTCATTGGTCGCTCCGATCGAGAGATCCACATTAGGGGGGCCATTCCGAATCTCCCCTTGGCTCCTCCTTGGGCCTTTATTCTATCCAGGGCCGCACGATAGGCATCGCCTAAACCGAGTCGATTGGTCGTTCTCTTGAGCTGCTTTCGCCGATCTTAGATTGTCGCCTCCGCCAGTATCGCCGTGACGTTTGGTGAAACCAGTAGAAATCTAGGTCCAATAGTCAGTGATTTTTCTTGATTCAGGAATAAGAAGTGCCACTACATACACCTCCGAGATAGTTTCCGAAACTTGTTTCATGATTTCAGCCTTAAGATCGGCGTTCATTCCTTCAGGTTCCGGGTCTCTGTCCAGCATCATCTGCAGGTATTTCATAATATCCCCCATCCTCGGCCTTACCTCGACGAGCTGTGCACTCTCGGAAAAATGTTTCTCAATCTCACGATGGATATGGGGCCGTCCAGTAATAAACAGCCGTATTTTAGGCGACCACTAGGAAATGGTATACAATGAGGGTAGAAGTGCAGGCAGATGCTTCCCGAGGCATTCGTCCAAGGCGTCAACGCAGATAAATGCTCTCTCCAGTGGAGCGATTGCAGCCTGTAAGAGTGGAAGGAGCTCGGACACCAGGAGACCTGGACCGCCAACCTGACTTTTTGTTTTCTGGAATGCATCGTCGATTTCTCCGGGAATCACTCCTGAACCCCGTATAATTTGCTTGAGAAGCGCGCCCAGTATATTCTCCGGGGTTTGGATGGTTTGGTGCTGGAAGTCGCAGTAGAAGCAGGCGACAGCCACTTTCTGCCCCACACACTCATTGCACAACCTATCAATCACCACAGAGCTAATGTCGTCGTTAGCTATCCACAGCCCACGCTCTCTATACATAAAATCGCTCGGTCTTCCTACCCAAGATAAGTTTTTCCGACTCCCGGAGCGCCTGAACCAAAGAGAACTGCTCTGTCAGATTCCTCTTTACCATCACGCCAGTTGACAAACTTGTCGCTTTGTAAAAGCCATTCCCCGATACCCTCTAGCCGGCTGGTGCGTACATCTTGGTGGCGCATGCGAGCTTCCAGTGGTGATAGCCACTCAAAAATCTGGGGCTTTTCGTCCAGATATGTAGTATTGTAGCTGTTTATTACGTTAAAGCTGTCCTTGTGGCCTGTCCCGGTGGTGCTAGGATCGATAGCGGTTCGCGGATTCATGTTTGCCACGTTGTCAGGTAGCTGGGAGGGATAGCCAGTGTTGGAGGTGCGAGGTTGTTGATGGAATACTGGCAATTTGGTGGGCAGAAACTGGGGGGAAGAAGGGGCCATGTTGTTCCCGATGTCCTTTCTAGGGTCTCTTGTGTAACTATATCTGCCCTTGTATGATATCTGATCAGGCACCTAGAAAGCCAGGGATCAAAGAGCCAATCTTGGCGCCGGAGGTCCTGACCCGCTGCGCAGCTTCACACTGAACTCTCTACAGTACGCTCAGCTGGCCACGCCTCTCCGCCGACAGTCCACTTGTAAAAATCAAAAAAACATCTCCCCCGCAACTTACGACTTGTCTGTCGAACCCATACCGGTGGAGTATCTCTAAGGTTTAGAAATTCAGGAATTTTCACACCTACAGAACAAAATTCACCTGGTCCTGTAAATACTCAAATAGTTTACTGCAGAACATAAACCTTCAGCGCGTCTGAATTCCCCCTCTCTGCTACATGAAGGCAGATTGCTTTAATCTCAACCCCATAAGTGACAGAACTGAAAGACGTTAATCCGATTAAAATAGACTGCTAGGGCGGATCTCAGGAACCCAGTGCTAGGATACACGCTCGATTCGACGTGCACCGATACCCCTCAAAACGGAACCAAAAAAACGGCCCGAATACTCGAATATTCCTAGAATAGAGGAATGGCTTTCTTGGGTCTTATCGCATCTAGCGAAGAGGCGGAGGAAGCGAGGCCAATCCAGCGCGTATCACAACATTTGGCAGAGAATGGCAACGCCAAGATTCGCCTCAAACCCTTGGACAAATTATCAGCCTCAGCTCTTTGGTGGTTGCCTTCTGTTTGTGCTACACAAGTTAAGTACTCGGGTACAGTACCGTACAGTACTGCACGGTTCAGGATGCCGGTAGAAGACACATAGCAAGGTTACTTGATCAGAGATGGTGCAAACAAATCGGCCACTGCGCCGGTCCCAGGCAACAGTTCGCGGAGGACCTTCCTTGGAGCATACCGTACGGGTACCGTACCAGCATTATGTAATACCGTTTACGGACTCGGCGCTAATCGGGGTGATAGGTATCATAACCACACGAAGGCAAAAACGCCAAAACTGGGGACTCCAAAACTACGGTACCACCATGGCCCAGCAACCCACGGTCGGAAACAGCATATCAAATTCCCAAAAGGCACTTTCACTACACTTTCGCCAAGGTAAACATCTATGATGTATCCTCACCGGAAAGGTTTCCGCTTGGCTACTGTCACATGACGGAATGACCTCGATGAGCCATCACGATAGTCTGACACTTTTCACATTTTTGAAAATCCGAGACGAGCTTTCCAACCCTGCAGCACGGCAATGCAACAATTTATCCCCTTTCGACTTGACCTGGGGCGACACCCAACCCGAGAAGAAGACACGATACGGTAAATGAAATAGACAAAATATGAGTTTAAAACCTCCCCCCAGAAAAAACAAAAAATGCTTGTTCAATATCTCACACTATGAAATCAACATTGAAACACCAGCTCTCACCGCAAATCACTTATCCCTTATCATTCCCAATGTCCTCGGTAGCCTCCGGTAAATCCATAGCCATGCATTGTCCCACTGGAAACCAGTATCCCCACCAAATTCACCTTCAAAGTGGTGCCTCGTATCATTGATTGTGCCTTCGTCATTGCGGCGCAGCGTTGTCTTTCCAAAGCGTAAGGAAAGACGGGCAAAGTGTAAACTGCATCTCCTCGGGTCCACCCACCTTGGTGGTATTCCGGGAAGGTCGCTGGCGTCCGAGGGGGGGGGTGCAAACATTGATTTATATACCGTATCATACCTGTAATTGCGACTATAATGAGGCGGGATTATGAGACGAGAAACAGAGCACGTGGCATGAACGCTTAAATCAAACAAGTACTGTACATGAAGGGGGGAAGGTTGTGGGTTGCTTGGCGGACCGGCACGTTGGCTCTGATAATGGTGAAGGAATCGCCATTCTGTTAGAAGTGCTCTATGCTTGTGCTCACCGGTGCCATCACCTGATAGTTTACAATGGCTTACTGATTGTAACGGACGGCGCATGCCTATCATTGCAAGAATTCACAAAATCAATATAATAGAAGATCTAGCGGGTTAGGCACCAAACAGCGGAAAAGAAAGAGGTGAAGAGAAGAAAGGAAATAGACAGATATCTAGCCGCCAACCCCCAAAGGGAGAGAAGGAAAGGGAAGCGGGGAAAATGAAAAAGTCCGGTTTTGGCAAAGCCCATATAAACACATTCCAAGAGACCACAAAAAATATAAAAAAGTGAATAGATGACCTGAAAAATATTTAGCGCCGGAAGAGATCTTTGACGCTACAAGCAAGCGCTTCCGGTAGCACCGGCGAGAATCACTAGCGCTTGGGGTGCAGGTGGTGTGGGGGCAGAGCGTGGCCAAAGCCAGGCTATGTATCCTGCGATGAGTAAGTTAGTGAATAGAGCACCTCACGCCTCCACGTGGGTAATACTTCTAGTTGCACCGCAGTGGTATATTAAGGACCCCTAATCTATTACAATGGCGGTGAGGCCGAGGGGGAAACTAAAAAGGCTTCTTCCTTTTCGACGTCATAGGTGCTAAAGGTTTGTCGTCGGAGGCTTGGGGAAAGCGCCGTCGTGGTAGCCGCGGTGGAGGTTCAAGAAATCCAAAGGGGGCAACAGAGGGTAGGATATATTGTCCTAGGGGTGAGGTGAGAGGGCCAAGTACGGGGTCTTGGATGATTGTTTAGGGGGTTTGATAGAGGTTACCCATTAAAGAAGTGACGAAGGATGAATATTGTGCGCACTATTGGGACGAGTTTAGGTTGGTATTGTAAGGGGCAGATCGGGATCGGAAAACCAAACATGCAAAACAGGTAAGCTTCACTCACTTGCAAATCGAATAGGCAAATCCAGCCTTCACACACTAAAAAGATTTCCGAAAGAGGTCCGCACCAATTAAATTGATGCAAAGAAAAGTGAGATCAAACACAAAGGCGAATTCCCAAATGTAGGTACAAACTTCTTGATCGTTGGTTGTCTTCGTCTCATGTCCACAAGTTTGTTCTCCAGTAATCCGATCTTCTTCGTTTCCCGTTCGTTTGCTTGACAGGGAAGGGAGGAAACTCTCCTTTCTCCCTCTCTGGTCCACAGCACATCACCATGGCCAGCCACAGTCAACCCCTAAAAAATCGAACAAAAACATGACCACCTCTACAGAACAAAACCCAAGTTTAGACAAAAGAAAACAAACACATTTTCACCCCCTACAGTATCTAGTGGCTGGGAAGGGCCTTGCACTCGCGATCTAGACTCTCATTCATCATTATCTCAGTGAGGATTTGCGGCTCGGGCCTTGTCATGCTGGGTAACGGGCACTTATCATATGTGAGTGTTGCCGGGGATGTCGGGAAGCTTCCTCCTCCTCATGCGGGACTTCTGATTGAGGATTGACCCATGTAGTTCCACAAGGGTTTTCCGTATCTCCTCCGATGGATTTCGGAGAGAGTAAAAGAGCCGTTTCCTACCCTCATTGCCTTGCGATTCGGCATTGATCCCTTCCCGTTCCAGTAACAGCTCCACGACTCCCACCATTCCCCACTCGGTAACGTAGGAGAGTAGTGTTCTGCCACGACTGTCTTCCGGTTTGGCGTTGACCTCTTCCCGTTCCAGAAACATCTTCCCGATTTCCACTCTTCCCCACTCGGCAGCGTAGGAGAGAGGGGTTCGGCCATCCCTATCTAGTGATTCCGCGTTGATGCCACTCTGATCCAGCAATAGCTTTACCATTTCCTCACTCTGCTATTGGACGGCGTATGAGAGTGACGCCCTGCCATAACCGTCTTTTAAATCGGCGTTTACCTCTCCCCGTTCCAGCACAAGCCTCGCAATTTCCATTTTCCCCCACCAAGCCCCATGCGAGAGTGGTTTTCGGTGATCAGCGCCCCTCAATTCGAGGGCGAATCTTTTACTCTCCATAAGCAGCTTCACAGTTTCCGCGTCCCCTTAGCTAATGGAATGGAGAGCGGTATCCTTCGATAATCGTCTCCCGATTCAGCATTGGCCTCCTTCCGTTCCGGGAAAAACTCCCACACTTGCCCACAAGGCTGCGCGGGAGATTGTAGTTCTGCCGCCCGCGTCCCGCAAGTTGGGTTTAACCGCTTGATTTTCCATGAGCAGCTTTACGATTCCTACATTTCCCCATGAGGCAGGATGAGACCCCAGTGTCTGCCCAACACCGTCCCGTAATTCAGTATTGACCCCTCCCGGTTCCAGAAACTGCTTCACCGTTCCCTCGTCCCCACCCTCAACAGTATGTGGGTGGTTTAGTTTCTCATGATTAAGAGGCTAGAAGCTAAAGCATTGCGTTTTTCTGGCAGGTGGGTTGTATGATACTGCAGAGGTGCTATTTTTCCTTCCTGCATGTATAATAACTTACTCTAAAAGAATCAACTAGAATCATCATATATCACTCTTATGCTTGGCGCCAGTGGAGGTCTACACTAGTAAGGTGAGAGGAGTTAAGGCTAAGCTACTAAAATTGGGGGCCCCCGAGGTATGCTTACACAACCACTATAGGCGGAAATAAGAGAAAAAAAACGCGGTAATGGCTCTTAGATGAAGAATGTTTGTGATTTTTCCTTCCATTCTCCATCAATCTTGAGCGTAGATAGAAGACGCCTTCCAAGACCACATCATTTGTATGAAAACGGTAAACATCAACAGCCTATATCTAATTCAGGTGCCTATGGGCCCCGTATAATCCAGAGATGAAAGCCTAAAACAACTATCCGATACTTGTACAAACCCCCCTCAAGAGCCCCCCCCCCCCGACCCCATTTTCCGCCATCGATATTTAAGGTCAGAGCGGGCTCCAAACCTCAAAAACACACACAAAATGAAGACGCTGCCATTGACGCCATTATTAAAGCTGTTGTCCGACCCGGAACACACGAGACCCGCCAAAGCGACGAGCAAGCGCTATTGTCGTATAACCCAGCAGGACCATATACTGGGAAAGGGGGAAGGGGGCGGCGCGAGATAGAAAGCTCATTTCGGTAGCCTGAGATGGGACCGACACCCTAGGGTTTTATGAAGGAAATACTTATCGTTCTTGGAGAGTGTCCATATGGACCGTACTCGTTTTTTATTTAGGGGGGGGGAGAATCAATTCATCTGTTTGTGCCTTTGCTTTGGGTATATGTCTACCACGGGATCCTTGCCGAATGCAAAGGTTGTACCTTGGGCAGTGCGTTCCGTGTCCCTAAATCACACAACAGTTAACAGGAAAATATTCATACATGCCCTACCTCCCGGGGAGGGTTCTTTCCCAGTTGGCCGGGGGTGATACAGACCTCGAACTAAATCTTCTCAATCCATTTGCCATTTCTAGATCCGAGTACCGAGATATCCGTAGATGGTAATCTCGCAGCGCAAGCCGCCGGGCTCGGTACTTGTACAGTACACACCCGAGTGACTTTTAAAATTACTATTGAGTATGTAGGAACGGCTGTGTACAGGAATTGGGAACATTCGCAGATATACGCGATTGTTTACGTACCTCTTGTTAATGTGAGTGATAGCGGAGGACCTATTGCGCAGCGGGGATAGAAGGCTAAGTGGATATGTGTGGTACCATGGCGGTATGCAAGTAAGAATGAGAGGTGAGAGGTAAGGTGAACCAACTTCGTTCTGCACTCCTCTAAACTAACGGTGAAGACATCCGTATAAGTGAAACACAGACAATGCACCCTGATCCTTCCATCAATCACCACACCACTCTCTATCTCCCCATGCATGCTGCCCTTTCCTCCATACGCTCCCGTACTAACAAAGGAAGAAACATGCTCCATGAATCTGTGAAGTATATACGGCAGGCGTATCAATGCCGGTGTATTCACTTCTATTCAGGAGCAACAGAGAGGGTGACAAAAGAACAAGTAGAGATTGATATCTTCTAACAAGGAAGAGAAAAACAAGGTCTTATAGATAGCTCATAGGAAAAGAATGGCAGCGTACAGAGTCTTTTATAGAGGGTTAGAGAGAAAACGATGAGAAAGGAAAGGAAAGAATAAAGTAATGAAGAGTAAGAAATCCACCGCAATCCCGACTCTTCAAAAAATATAGAAACAGATCAAGTATCATGACTAGTATCTAACACTAGGCTGTTCCAGTTCCAATGCTCCATGTTTGATCCCCATTGACCCCCGTTTCCACTATCTGCATCTAGCGGGTATGATAATTTTCCAAACACCGATGATTTCTGGTGATGACGCTGAAACACTAGGTAGCCATAGCCTGTTTCAACAGAATCTTCAACGCCTTCGACACCTGGCACACCGGTCCGCCCCTTATGTTTGCTTACCTTTCTTTCGTTTCTTTTCTTCCTCTCTCAACAATTCTCACGAAGACCAATCCACACGCACTTCCTTGGCTTGCCATAAATTCACCTCTTTCTTTTTTCTCACTTCTCGCTTCTATCTCTCTACTCTCATCCGATAAGATCAATCCGGTTCTCTATTTCCTCATGGTCCTCCTCCGGTTCCGTAAAACCCTCATAGCTATCGTTGACATTACAGTTCGATCAACCACAATTTCCAACAACTACTACCTCCATGAAAGCAAGTGATATTCTGTGATAAGGGGATGGTATTAAATGGATCTCTATCGCCATCTTTTTGATTGCGTTGGAAGTTACAGGACCTAGCCCTCAATTCGGTGCAGGTCAGCATGCTGCCTAACGGGAGGGAGGTGAGATATAATGGGGAGGGTATAAAATGAAACGTAAGATCCACCCACACTATGGGCATCCTACTCTCTCTATTCAAGTAAATTTCGAAGAAGATAAAAGAAAAGCAGTCAGAGGAGCCTATTTCTTTAACCCTTCCCCCCAGACGGTCCCCCACACCGCCCATAGCTCTAGGCATATCTCTACAGCCATCAACTATCATCGGTGGAAGCTGGTAGCCTTACTATTCGAACCGACGGTCGGACTGATACGGTTGTCGAGCGATATCCCGGGTTGGGTGGTAGGTTGGTGGCCAATAATGATAACCGTCGCCGCCGAAAATCGCAAGCTAAGGCCGGTGGACTAAACTTTGGGTCCCGCCCGGCCCGAGTTCCTTGGTAGCCTTCGCGACCCCGTTACTCGTAATTGGATTTACCGTCGCACCCGCCAAGGCGGCTCGGAAGAAAGCGGGTACTGGGAGGAATACTAGTACGTGGCCGGAGCTATTTGGCAGAACAGATGGCTGTATGGAGGAGGGAATAGTTGTGAGCTGTCAGACGCACTGACCCACTTGTTCTCAACCTCTAACCGTCACCCTTCTTTTAGGAGTGTACACCACTTTTATTCACTTGTACTATTGCATATCTCCGGAGCTTAAAAACATTTGAGAGATGCAGCTTTTCTATAGTATGCCAATGCTCAACATCCATATGATATGAGGGAATGATCTAGCGAAAGATCAATTAAATGAGAAAGGAAAGTAAAGAGAAAGAAGGGGGGAAGAGGGGATAAAGGAAGATGGACCTAGCTAGCACCCCCGCCGCTGCCATAGAACAAAAGGAAAAAAAAAAGAAAAAAAGGGAAAAGTCTAGTCTTGGGTGATTCCATAAGGGCTAGCTACGGAAACCGCAAAGAATAAACACAATCAGTAGGAAAAAATATGACAGTGATGACAGTGAGGCGAAAATGATTGATTTCAAAATATATATTCATAGCACAATACATAGGGCTTTCCTGGTGGCACCCACAAGCACAGCTAGTACGCCGAGTGGAGGTAATATAGTAGTCAAGAGTCCCACGAAACCAGACTACGCAAGCTCAGTCGCGAATAGAGAATCCCCGGCGTGGGTAAAAGGGGTGGCTCGGGTTGCATTGCGAAGGTGTAGTAGGAACCGCTAAGAGACCAGAATGGCAAGGGGGGCTAAGAAGGCTTTGTCCTTTTTGATGTCATCGGTACCAGAGGTTTGTCTTCAAAAGCCTGGGAAAAGCGCCGCCGTGGTGGTTGTGATAAGGGCTCGAGGCATCCAACGGCAACAACGGATGGTAGGATAAGATGGGTGAGGGGTGGGGTGGGAGTATCGGGTCTTGAGTCTTGGGTGGGCGTTTCAGGATTTTGGTAAGAACCATGTCTTAGAGGAGTGGTGGCTGGGGAATGCTGTGTGCTTTTTGAGGGCGTGCCTGTTCTTGTATTTGGTAGTTGCAAAGGGGGTTGTACCAGTAATTCCGTCCCTTGATCACCATGACCAGCGGAAGGATTGACAGGCTGAGCATCATGAATACGAGCAGTGGGCATTGTATCCAGGCATTCCCGAAGACGTTGGGCAACTTCCTCATCGCTATTCAGGACCCAGGATCGGGAATCGACCTCTCCAAGTTCCAAGAGAATCTTCCCTATCTCCTTCGATCCACATTTGAGAGGGTAGAAGAGTGGTGTTCTTCCTTGGCCATCATGCGATTCGGTGTTTACCTCCTCTCGTTCTAGGAAGAGCAGCACGGTTTGGACTCTTCCCCCCTCGGCGGCGTAGGAGAGGGGTGTTCTACCCTGATTGTCCGGTATTTCGACGTTGACCCCGTCCCGTTCCAGAAACAACTTGACGGCTTCCACTGTCCCCGACTCGGCGGCGTCGGAGAGGGGTGTTCTACCATCATTGTCCCGCAATCCGTCGTTGACGCCTTCCCGGTCCAGGAACAGCTTGACGGCATCCACTGTTCCCAAACTCACAGCGTAGGAGAGGGGTGTTCTACCCTGATTGTCCTGTATTTCGGCCTCGGCTCCTTCCCAGCCCAGAAA